GCAGTAATCAAAAAGTAATGAGCAATGTGTTGAAGCTGGTGGACCAGGATGTGTTTGGCATATGTTTGCAAAATGAGACCTGGTCTAGCATATTGGTTTTTTCCCCCCCTGCAATGCTACCAAAATTTGTGTATAAGTCTTCAACTCTTTTCAGTGCTAGGAAGCTGAATAGGTTTCCTGTACTCTGCAGCTGCAACATGGGAAGTAATAGCGAGATAAGTAGGGAATTGCTGCCTCCTATCTGTTTCCTGTTGTCAGCTTAAAATGCAAAGAGAGTGCACTTCAACATTAAAAAAAGAGTGCAAAGTTTAAGAAGCCTTGAAAAAACTGTGCATTTGCTCCATTAGACGTGGAATGGGCACATATGTTTGAAACCAGAGTTATTTTGATAGGCCTTTTGGAGCAAAACAGTGGCAAACCTGCTCTGGATAAATCTTACCGAGAAAAACCCTCTGAGTTGCAGTTGCTTGAAGGCACTGTCACAACAAAGTGACACTAAGGTCACACAGGAATCCTTGTGGAGAATGTTATCGCTAAAATGTGTATGTATTTTGCCTTAAAAGGTATAGTATTTTGGTTCCAAAAATTGGGGTTCGCTTGTTGTAAATGCACCCCAGTTTTGTTCACATTTATATGAGGGATTGTCTACACATACAATTAATGCAGCTTGACACTACTTGAAATGTCATGGCATTTCCATAACTTGATGCCATGGAATCCTGGGATTTGTAGTTTGGTGAGGCATCAGTAATATTTGAGCCAAAGACAAAAGGCCTTGTAAAACTAAAGGCCCCCTGGTGGCACAGCGGGTTAAACCACTGAACTGCTGAACTTGCTGACCAAAAGYCTGATGGTTTGAATCCAGGGAGTCGGGTGAGCTCCCGCTGTTAGGCCCAGCTTCTGCCAACCTAGTAGTTCAAAAACATGCAAATGTGAGTAGATCAATAGGTACTGCTTCTGTGGCAAGGTAAAGGTGTTCCATGCAGTCATGCCAGGCACATGACCTTGGAGGCATCTATGGACAARGCCAGCTCAGAAATGGAGATGAGCACCAACCCCCYAGTCGGACTTAACTAGACTTAATGTCAGAGGAAACCTTTACRTTTGCCCTTTAAAACTATCACTCCAGTGATTCCATGGCACTGAGTCATGGCAGTTAAAGTGGTGTCAGACTGCATTAATTCTAGTGTAGAGGCATTCCCCTTCAGGTTCAATTGAGCAGTATTGTTATGTGCCTTCAAGTCATTTCAGACTTGTTCTTTGCCTTTCACCGAGACTGAGAGAGTGTGATTTACTTACCCAAGGCCACGCAGTTGGCTTCCATTGCTTGAACAGGGATTTGAACCCTGGTCTGCAGAGCCATAGTCCAGCCATCAAATCACTACACCATCTTGGCATATTCAGTTATGCATACTCCTCACTGAAGGCTGCTTGGAAGTAAACACCACATTCACTGGGGGATTGCTCTACTTTAAGTGTCCCTACATTATAAGGTTGCTTGCCAAGGCTGCAATCTGAAATCCCTATAGCTTTTTTAAAAATGCAGAGATCTGTTCCTGCTGATAACCTTTCAGTTCACATCCTGCCAGCTTCTGTGTGAGGTGAAAGTGACTTCCTGTGTTGGAGGAGGAATATTGGCAGTGCCTCTAGAAAAGAAAATAACTGTGTATCTGCTGAAAGGCATTGAAGTGTGCAGTAGTCAGGTGTGTGTGTGTGTGTGTGTACGTGTACATCTTGCTACATATATATCAAGCTCACTCCCTCTTTTTCTATACGTATTGCTATCTCTATATATACTGTATGTGTATATATATGTGTGTGTCTCCATATATGTGTCTCTCTCAATATATAAGTCTGACTATATATGTCTCTCTCTATACATATGTCTGTCTCTATATGCCCCCCCTCTATATATATATGTCAGTCTCCATATAGTCTCTCTCTATGTCTGTCTATATATGTTTCTCTCTATACATATATATTTTATAGAGATATGTCTGTTTCTATATTTCTCTTTCTCTTTCTCTTTCTCTCTCTATAATACGTCTGTCTCCATATATGTCTGTCTGTCTCTATATGTCTGTCTATATATGTCTCTCTTTATACATATATATATATGTCTCTCTCTATATATATGTCTCTATATATATATGTCTCTCTCAATATATATGTCTCTCTCTCTATATATGTGTGTGTGTCTGTCTCTCAATATATATGTCTCCCTTCCCCCCCTCTCTCTATATATGTCTCCATATATGTCTGTCTATCTGACCGTCTGTCTATCTGACCGTCTATATCTGTCTATATATGTGTCTCTCTATACATATATATATATACATCTATCTCTATATATATATGTCTCTCTCTATATATATATATCTGTCTGTCATGTATATGTATGTGTATTATGTCCTAATAGAGAAAAATGTGTTATATATATCACATTTATCATATTTATTCATGTTCAAGAAGGGTTATGACTAGAGCTATTGGAGGAAGAAAAAAAATCCAGTTTTTGTCTACATTGTAGCATTAATGTGGTTTGACATCACTTTCATTGTGACACCACTTTAACCGCCATAGCTCCATGCTATGGAATGGTGGACAAGGCCTTTAGCCTTCTCTGTCAAAGGAGGCCAGTTCCTTACTAAACTACAAATCCCAGAATTCCACAGCATTGATCCGAGGAAGTTAAAATGGTGTCAAACTGCATTGAGTCTACAGAGTAGATGCACCTGTACCTACATTCTCTGCCCAGCCATGGGAACCCACTGGGTGACCTTGATCTCAGCCTCAGAGGAAAGCCAAGGGTAAACAACTCTGAATTCAGTTTGAGTCCTTCAGGACCCAGACAAAGGGCTCATCTGCATTGTAGAATTAATGCAGGTTGATCCCTCTCTAACCATGAGTGCTATTGAATTATGAGATGTTTAGGTTGGCGAGGCATACAGCTCCTGGGGTGGCTTAGCATTGAGCCAGGGCAGTTAAAGTGGTGTCAAATCGCACTAATTCTACAACGTAGACTAACCAGGGTTCAGCTTTGCATCAAGCTGAGTCCAGCCTTAAGCTTTCGTGCTGTGTGCGTTGATCCCTGGCAGTGAAAGTGGTGTCAAGCTGCGTGCATTCTACACCTAAAGCCAACTCCTCTTTGGTGTTGAAAGTAAAGCCTGTCTGTTCGGAAGTAAACCCCACGTTTCTCCTCCCAGCCCAGTCGGCTTGGATTTCTGACAAAAGCTGGTGAGAGGAGAGATGGGCAAAACTGTTTTGCTTCCACACAGACACAAGTCCCAGAATCCATGCTCCAAATTCACCCCACAAGTGAAAAGTCTCTTTGTGCATAAAAAGGCTTGTCCGTTGACTCAGAGGCAGAATGCGCTCTGCCATCATTATATGCTCAGTGTAGAGACTGCATTACTATTGTTGCTGCCGAAGTTTGGATCTGCTGCCTCTTTAGAAAGACCCAATTTCCATCTTTTGCAGACTGTAGCCTCACTGAGACCCCAAACTCCCAATTAATATAATGTAAATGTTGTGCTTTTCAGTGGGTCGACGACAAAGCGCGTTAAAATGATCCTTGCTTGACCCTTTTGGTGTTCGGACCATTTTACCCCCTGCTGACATGCATCTACACTGTAGAATTAATGCAGTTTGATACCGCTTTAACTGCCAGGGCTCAAGGTTATGAAATCCTGGGGTTTGTAGCTTGGTGAGGCACTTTGCTTTGTTGCAAGGAAAAGAGAAAGGCTGGATCGTTGTGAGTTTTCCGGGCTGTATGACCATGTGCCAGAAGCGTTTCAGACAAGAAACAATCAGGACCAGCTCATTATCTCCCAACAAAGGATTCCCCCACTGCTAGGTCATTCAATGTTAATCAAGGTAGCCAATTAAAACATTCACACCTAGCTCCAACAGACAAGAGTTCTTGCTCCCACCCTGGACAATCCAGATATATATATACCCCACTTGCTTAGTTTTCTAACAAAAAATTCTCCCAGACAGCACCCAGCCAGGCTTTGAAGCTGCAAGGACATTCGATGCTAATCAAGGGAGCCAATGGCAGCATTCACACCTACCTCGAACAGACAAGAGTTCTTTCTCCCACCCTAGACATTCCACAGATATATAAACTTCACTTACCTAGTTTCCTAACAAAGGATTTCCTCAGGCAGCACCCAGCCAGGCTTTGAAGCTGCAAGGCCATCCAATGCTAATCAAGGTAGCCAATTGAAACATTCACACCTACCGCCAGCAGACTAGAGTTATTTCTCCCACCCTGGACATTTCAGATATATATATACCTCACTTGCCTAGTTTCCTAACAAAGGATTCCCTCGGGCAGCACCCAGCCATGCTTTAAAGCTGCAAGGACATTCGATGCTAATCAAAGTGGCCAATTGAAACATTCACACCTGCCTCCAGCAAACTATAGTTCTTTCTCCCACCCTGGACATTCCACAGATATAAACCACAATTTTCCTAGTTTCCAACTGCCATAGATGCAGGCGAAACGTCAGGAGATAATGCTTCTGGAACAATAGCCATACAGCCCGCAAAACTCACACAACAACCTAGTGATTCCGGCCATGAAAGCCTTCGACAATACAAAGCGAAAGACCTTTCTAAAACTGGAAAGTCCTGTGACTCCACAGCACGTGAAGTGGTGCCAAACTGCATCAGTTCTGCAGTATAGACGCATCCCTCCAAGGAGGCAAGTCCCACTGAGTTCTTTTGCTCGCAACGGGTCATTTTGGGGAGATGGAAAGGACCCCGTTTTGTCGTCCAAACTCCGGGGTGGTTTGATGTAGGGATCAACCCAAGCCCTTGGCTGAATGTAAAAACCGCATTACAAAGGAGTCCACGCTATGGTTAAAGCCGGCCCTTCCTTCCCAGCTGCCTCCTTTGCCTTGAGCTTCCCTCTCTGTGTCTGAACCTGGAAGGCTATTTCTCCCTCCTGTTGCCTCCCAGCGTTGATTGACAGCCGCGTTTCTCTTTCATTTCAGCCCCAGATGAAGATGTACTTGTGAAAGGAAAGCAGTCTATCAGGAGCCAGGCTTTAGGAAATCAGAACTCGGAGAGTGAGATTCTTTTGGAAGGCGACGATGATACCTTGTCATCCATCGAGGAGAAGGAACTGGAAAACTTAACGGGTAAATGCAGCTGTCTATTACCTGATGAGGGTCTTCTGATTGGTTTATCCACCCCTCCCCTCCCAGTCCCTTTTGTGTGCCATAGGAGGAAGGAAGGAAGTGGGAAGCAGGCCTTCTTTCCCTTTCACTGGCAGAAGAGAAGGGATCTCAATAACATTGTGATTAACTTCCTCCATAATATGACCCCCTTTGTAGCTAGCTACACACAGGAGCCCCATGTAGTGTGATGGGTTAACCCAGGCTTGGGCAAACTTGGGCCCTCCAAATGTTTTGGACTCAACTCCCACCATTTCTAACAGGTGGGAGTTGAAGTCCAAAACACCTGGAGGGCCCAAGTAGTGTGATGGGTTAACCCAGGCTTGGGCAACCCAGGCTTGGGCAAATTTGAAGTACAAAACACCTGGAGGGCCCAAGTTTGCCCAAACCTGGGTTAAATCCTTGTGCCTTGTGCTGGCAGGATTGCTGACTGAAAGGTCTGGCAGTTCAAATCCGGGTAGTGGGGTGAGCTCCTGTCTGTCAGCTCCAGCTTCCCATGCTGGCACATGAGATAAGCCTCCCATAGGATGGTAAAACATCCAGGCATCTGCTGGGCAACTTCCTGTGTCCTTTGCAGGCAGGACTGCTGACTGAAAGGCCTGGTAGTTCAAATCCGGGGAGTGGGGTGAGCTCCTATCTGTCAGCTCCAACTTCTCATGAGAGAAGCCTCCCATAGGATGGTAAAATATCTGGGCGTCCCCTGGGCAACATCCTGTTGTGCCTTGTGCCAGCAGAACTGGTAACAGAAAGGCCTGGTGGTTCAGATCCAGGGAGTGGAATGAGCTCCCACCTGTCAGCTTCAGCTTCTCATGCTGGGACATGAGGGAAGCCTCCCACAGGATGGTAAAACATCCAGGCATCCCCTAGGCAACTTCCTGTGTCTTTTGCAGGCAGGACTGTTGACTGAAAGGTCTGGTGGTTCATATCCGGGGGAGTGGGGTGAGCTCTCATTTGTCAGCTCCAGCTGCTCATGCTGGGACATGAGAGAAGCCTCCCACAAGATGATAAAATATCCAGGCATCCCCTGGGCAACATCCTCTCACACCAGAAGCTGCTTGCAGTTTCTCAAGTCTCTCCTGACACTAAAAAGCCTATATTCCAGTGGTTCTCCATCTGTGGATCCCCAGATGTTTTGGCCTTCAACTCTCAGAAATCCTAACCTGGCTGGGATTTCTGGGAGTTGTAGGCCAAAACACCTGGGGACCCACAGGCTTCTGGTATACACATTTGCCGCTGTATACCAGAAGCCTATATGTCCATTGCTCTAGGTGTGGAAAAGCAGGTTCAGGGAAGCAGAGAAGGCTCTTGCAAATGTGTTAAAAAGCAAAACACAAAAAAAGGTATCAATTTCTATAAAAAGCAGCAGTGCTCTGAATTTGAGGGGACCTTTTTTGCAACAATGTGATCTTGCATTATTTCCCTATTTATTTTTGCCGGAAGTAAACTAGAAATTATTATTATTTTATTTATTTACTGCATTTATGTACCGCTTTTCTCACCCCAAGGGGACTCAAAGCAATTTCCGACATAATAGTGGCAAAATTCAATACCGTACAATCATGTGAAAGCCACAACATAATTTCTACTATAAATTAAGAACCTTAACCATATTACAGATTTCAACATAAAATAACACATACATTAAAATGGCCGCTCTTCCATGCCCCAGGTGTTATGTTATTGTCATTATTATTATTATTATTATTATTTGCTGTATTTATATCCCTGTACCTCAAAGGGCACTCAAGGCGGCTTACAGACAGGCAGTAATTCAGTGCCTTAGTAACAATATACAATTAAAATAATTAAAATAAAATTAAAATCAACTATATGTCTAAGAGCTAGAATTGTAGATCTGCTCTAATTTTTATAAATGTCTACTGTATTTTTGATATAAAATTCTAGCTATAAATATATTCCAGAATGATTCTGAAAACAAGAATAAAAGGTAAAGGTTTCCCCTTGACATTAAGTCTAGTCATGACCCACTCTGGGGATGGTGCTCATCTCCACTTCTAAGCTGAAGAGCGACATTGTCCTTAGAGGCCTCCTAGATCATGTGGCCAGCATGACTGCATGGAGTGCCATTACCTTCCCACTGGAGTGGTATATATTGATTTACTCACATTTGCTTGTTTTCAAACTGCTAGGTTGGCAGAAGCTGGGGCTAACAGCGGGAGCTCACCCCACTCCCTGAATTGAACCTCCAACCTTTTGGTCAGCAAATTCAGCAGCTCAGCAGTTTAACTCGCTGCACCACTGGGGGCTCCAAATACTTTTTGTTGAAATTTAGTTTTGTTGGAAGTAACTGGATGAGAGGAAGGGCCTCTGATTTACACACAGAAACCTAAAGTCTTATTTTCTTGAAGTTCATTATGCGTTGCACCATCTGCCTGGCATGGCACCTCATAATAAAAACCAAACATGAAAATATATGATAATGTCAAATCAGCACCCAGTCAGTGAAACAGCAGCATTATTGAGGGAGGCTCTTATTGAAGCAGAGCCTGGAAGAGCCTCCATCCTTGGCCTTTCCTCCATTCCCTCCCCACCCCCTCCTTCTCCATTTGTTGCTTCTGTTAATACATTCGTACTGTAATAGAGGTGAAAGGGGAGTTTAATTATATAATCTTGACAATGGCAATAGGATTAAGAAGTAATCCCTGCTAATAAAGTACTGTGGGTTAGAAATGAAGTTGAAATTGTCAGGGGTTTTCAGCAGGACCTGAGCTGCCCTGGTTCCTGCAGCTGTCTGCTTGCCCTGTAATTGAATGTCTGAAAGTGATTGAAAAAATGTTATTTCTTCCCTGGATTACATGCTAATGTACAGAGGGCAAAGGGAGACAGCAAAAGAACACATAGCTGCTTATTTCATCCATTTGTGGGAATGAGCTTTGGGAAATCACGGCAGTCCTGCAGCGATCGGATGCCCATCTGCAAACACAATGTGCTTGTACGCTGGGAATAGAGGGCAAAGCTGCTCTGATCTCCGCAGAGCATCTCTTCTATTGTCCTACTGGCACACATTGAGATTGATGCAAGATTAAAGACCATCACACCTCCTCGCAATTGACAGAAATGACAATTCATCAGAATTTTTTTGGCAGTTATTCACCCATTGATTACCTATGTGCGCGCACCTCATTTATACATACTTTATTAATGCGAAACGGCTATGTGTCGTGTGTGCAGTTTTACAATATTTTTAAACAAAAGACCTACAGCTAATAAATACACCCTTTGTTGGTCTCCCTATGGAGTGGTTGCTTTTTAAAAAATCAGTTGAATGACAGATATCGCTTTATGTAATGGTCTGCATATTGCTGCTAGATCTGTGCACGGCCTATTGTTTTGAGAAGTACACTGATGTGTCTCTGTGATAAGCCCTGTGGAGATGTGATTATTCCAATATAAATTCATTCATTTGGAAACTTGTGCTCCAGCTGTTGACTCCCACAATCCCTGAGCTGCGCTAGCGCTCTGTGGGTCCCTTGGAAAAAATATATATTGAACAGGCGAGTTGAATTCAAATGCTATACTTCTCAATTTTTTAGCAGAGGGTAATAATTAGCTTTCAAACAATACATCTGTGCCATGCATAAAAATAAAAACCTGTGTATAAAATTCTTGGAGATCTTTCTAAACAAAGCAGTCCACCAAGAAGTCAGATTGGATCTCGATATACACATCTGAAACATATTCCTCCTCTAAGTATCCCCCCTCCCCAATTTATCTTATTGTATTGTTGTCCAGCTCTGAAGCATTTTCCAACTTTCAGATGAAGAAAGCTAGATATATCGACAGCCAACTAGTTGAACACATCTGCTTTGTTTTCAGATGTAGTTGTTCAAACATTTGGCAACACCAAAGTGTAACAAATAGCATTGCATATGGACTTGGGATGGTGGTGGTATATAAAAGCGTCATTTATACATCCAGTTATTTTTGTGAGACATGCAGTGGATTAAAGGAAACTAATACAATAAAATATATTTGTGCAAGATTTTGTGTTTGCTACTCAGAGCGTTGGTAACAAGGTATGCGTCTGTTTCTTTTGGTAGGTCCTGTTAGTCTGTCTACGCCGGCTCAGCTTGTGGCCCCCTGTGTAGTGGTGAAGGGCACCATTTCTATCACTGCCTCCGAATTGTATTTTGAGGTAGATGAAGAAGAGTCCAGTTTTAAGAAAATTGACCCCAAGGTAAGAGATCTTTGACCTCCCTCCCTCCCAAAGCATTAAGGCTCATGACAAATTGCAAAAAGTCCTTAATTTTTCATCCAGTCCCTCATAATTCTGCCGGATCCACTTCTGTATTTGTGAGTTATTAATTTGTGGAGCTTTCATGCAAATGACTCTGTTGTAGGTATGAAAAAATAATAAGTCATCCTCATTCCATGAATAAATGGTAGGATAGAAATCTCTAGGGAAGCTCCTTAAATAAAGTTGCTTCACAACAAGAGAATGTATGAGTAACAGTAAGCTTATTGGTGCTGCCTTTTGGAAACTATGTATATACCAGGATTTTAATTTGTCTCCCCTTTGCAGTGATACTATTGAGCACTGATTTATTCCATTGATTTTTCACATTTGCTTTGTGCAATACTGCAGCAGATTGAATCCAACTTGACATACATATGATCATTCAGAAAGCATAATTCCCATTTGATGAGATATATATTAATAGATTCATTTGCGCTGCATTTGTGTTCCCAGGCTAAATATATTTTTTGAATGACAGTAATCTTTGAATGGAAGGGCAGTAAATTTCACTCACACACACAAAGGGTAAAATGACTACTATAAACATTGCACTTGGGCATTCACCATAATACTAAAAAGTGATGAATGAATCTCCATTTTTGGTTGGCTTTTGAATTTTAGAAATACAGTGTTTTGTGGAGATGAAGTGTAATAAAAGTGAGGAATCTCATGTCATGAGTGCATTATATTTCTAGAGACAGGTAAATATTATATTATATTATATTATACTATACTATACTATACTACATTACATTACATTACATTACATTACATTACATTACATTACATTACATTGGACGATGACCAGCACCAGAAGTAAATTATTTATATTGCTTTGCTATTTTCATCTTAAATTAATATAAAAAGGTGAATAGATTACCTTTATGCCCATTTAACATTTTAAAATAAACTTGTCACTTTGATATAGCAATAGGTAATTAAAACTATAAAATAAAGTGAACAAATAATATGGAAGTTTTTAACGTGATGTTCTCTGAATAATTTGCATATTAAATTTTACTTTGGTGCTAATTGCAATTAAAATTATCAGTAAAATGGTGATAGATTTGGTTACTGGCAGAATTACATCTCAGTGATAATATTAACCTGACTGTTTATTCATATTCAAGGAATAATGTAGGGTGAGATTGCCCTATATTTCCTTGTTTCAAAAACGTCTTTTTTTATTTGCTTTCGTATTGGAATAGACTTCTTTATGTCTTATTAAATTCTTTGTTGAAGACAGTACAATGTAAATTTTGAAATAAGTGGAAAGAAAATGTCTAGAAAACTAGCCAAGTATTTCAACTCAATCTGTAATATGGAAAATGTTTTGAGAGAGGGTGTGTTCATCTTCAAACTATCCCTTTGTGAAAACTTCTGAAACTGTTGCTGTTTTGCTTATGAAGTCATGTAGCAATGCCACATCATCCTCTTAGGAACACTGGCATTTTCCCATGTCTTTTCCCCCCTTTCTCTCCCTCCCCCTTCCCATAAGATATGTGTAGGTAGAGCTTAGGGAGAAACATCTCTCCTTTCAGTACCAATCCTGCCTTTGCTCAGATTCTGGTTTAATTAACAAGGCACTCTGTTTGATAAATTCAGAGTCTTGTGTGTTTTTCTAAACTCCTGAGAAAGAAAACATTGTGACAAGATTGTGAAGTAGAACCTGTACAGGGCATAGCATTCTCGCTGATAACATCAAAGTTTATATTCCTACTGCAAGATGGTTTTTAACAGGGAAGAAGTAGTCTTATAAACTTTTCAAAGTGGGGAAAGAAATGAGACCTTCTGTTCATTTCGGGTCCATTTTTAATAAATTTAATATTTCTATAATTAAACTCTCAATATTGCTTTTGAAAAACCAAGCAGGGAGTATTGTGCCAATGGATGCAAGTATATAAAGAATATTTATATATCTTATACAATTAGATAGCTAAAATGTAAACATAAGTATTCTTTATATATGTGCATCTATTGGCACAATACTCCCTGCTTGGTTTTTTGTGCAATTATGTTTTATTAGTGTAATTATGCTTTATTTAAATATCTTTATATTTTATTACTTTAACTTTATTTTTCTTTCAGTAGCAAGTTTATTAATACCTATTTCAATTTTTTTTATGTTTTGTGATTCTAATTATGGCATTGAATGCTTGTCTTTTTATATGTGTGTAAACTGCCCTGAGTCCCCTTGGGGAGAGAGGGCAGTCTAGAAATAAATAATAATAATAATAATAATAATAATAATAATAATAATAATTATTATTATTATTATTATCATCATCATCAATATGCTTGTGCTATTGGATAGAATCTGAAACATTTATTAGCAGTTTCCTTTTTCCAATTAACAGTAGTTTAATTTGTTTTTAAATGCAAATGTGTAAAATATCTAAAGTTTGAAAACAAAGTTTTCAGAGATTAGCCAAAATAAAAATTAAATTATTATTTTTAGAACAAAACTATCATGCTATCTGGACACACATGGAATTAAGCTGCAGTATAGTTGATAGTACTTATATTAGGGCCCTTCCTCCCAGCCATATAACCCAAAATATCAAGGCAGAAAATCCCACAATATCTGCTTTGAACTGGGTTATCTGAGTTCACACTGCCATATATTCCAGTTCGAAGCAGACAATGTGACATTTTATTCAGCTGTGTGGAAGGGGCCTTAGTGAGCACAGACATGCATAGGCTTGGGCTGGGCATTAATTTAAAACTCATGAAATGCCCTCCACACAGCCCTATATTCCAGAATATCAAGGCAGAAAATCCCACAGTATCTGCTTTGAACTGAGTTATCTGAGTCCACACTAAAATAACGTGGCATTTTTTTGCCTTGATATTCTGAGATATAGGGCTGTGTGGAAGGGCCCTAAAAGTGCACCAGAGTAAATGAAATGGTACTTAAGTTTTCTTACTGGGATGAACTGTTTTGAAAAACATTAAGTTTTTACAAGGGGAGTAATCAGGATTTCTAAACATAGATCATTTGAATGTGAAGCTCAGTGGCTCTCAGCCCACAAGGAAGAAAAATGTCCCTTTTCGATCTGTTTCCCTGGTTTGCCATCCTCTCTCTGCCTCCGGCAGGCTCTGTTTAAAAACCAGATAAACCTAATGTTTTCAGAAGAGAAATTGGCTCCTTGTAGGGCATTAATTATTCAGAGTCAATCCATACAGGCCTTGAAATTCAAAGTCAAAGAGGACTTGGGTATTTTACTCAAGCTGTGCTAAATGAGAAATCTACATGAATGGAGGGGTGCAAGAGAAAAACAGCAGTTTAAAAGTGAAGTGATACTGATAAGTAATTTAGTCCAAAATCCTTCTCGGTGATGCCAATAAGTAATTTCCTCCAAAATCTCTTTTTATGTCTCCTTTTGAATGGATTAAATATTTAAGGCTTTGGTGTTGCTTTAAAATCACCAATGCTCCTAATATTCTAGTTTATGTACTTTCTGTTCACAAATGTAAACAATCCAAATGCAATCCAATTCAAAACAGTGGCATGTTGTTCTCTTTTGAAATAGTGTATAGATTGCCTTTTAAAAGTGGGAAATAATCTACATGATGTGGCAATATAAAGTTAAAACCATGTAATTTTTTATCTTTTTTAATGTCTCCTTTGGAATAGATTAATATTTAAGGCTTTGGTATTGCTTTAAATAATCACTAGATGCTTCTAATGTTCCAGCTTGTATACTTTCTGTTCACAAATGTAAATATTCAGAATGCAATCCCCTTGAAAACAGTGGAATGCTGTTCTCTTTTAAAATATCTGAGTAGATTGCCTGTTTTTTTAAAAAAGGGGTCATAAATTTAAAACCATGTTTTTAATTTATATCATCTATCTATCTATCTATCTATCTATCTATCTATCATCTATCTATCTATCTATCTATTTATCTATCTATCTATCTATCTATCTATCTATCTATCTATCTATCTATCTATCTATCTTAGGGCTCACACAGCCCTATATCCCAGAATATCAAGGCAGAAAAAACATTATCTGAGTGTGGACTGAGGACCCTTCCACACAGCCCTATATCCCAGAATATGAAGGCAGAAAAACCACATTATCTGAGTGTGGACTCAGATAACCCAGTTCAAAGCAGATATTGTGGGATTTTTCTGCCTTGATATTTTGGGAAACAGAGTTGTGTGGAGGGCCCTAAATGTCTCCTTTTGAATTAATATTTCAGGCTTTGGTATTGCTTTAAATTATCACCAAATGCTCCTAATCTTCCAGTTTGTATACTTTCTGTTCACAAATGTAAACATTCCGAATGCAATCCCCTTCAAAACAGTAGCATGTTGTTCTCTTTTAAAATATAAATTGCCCGATTTTTTAAAAGGGGAAATAATCAACACGAGGAGGCAATGTAAAGTTAAAACCATGTTTTTATTTATTTATAATAATAATTATTATTACTGTTTTCAACAAGTCGATGTAGGTAAAGGGAAAGGGTGGGAGGAGACGAAGCAGGGCACAGAAATCTGTCCTTGGCACTGAAATACATTTCACAATCGGCAAACTTTCTCTAGCTGTGGCTTTTTAAAAAATGTTTTATCTTACTTTCCATTATTATTATTTTGTTTGGAGAGGGGAGGAAGAGGTTTGAAGAAGACTACATATAGTTAAATAATTCTTTTGTTTCTTTTTTCACTTGGTGACAACATTCAGGCAAAACGAGAGAGAGAAGGAAGGCAGGGACTGGGTGACAATATACATTGAATAATTCGAGAGAAAGGCGTTAGGGAAGGAAGGGAAAGGGAAGGAAACAACGAAATGTACCTCGGATTTTTCGCTGGGCTATCTCAAAGTCCCGTCGCTGTTTGTTTTTTTAAGAAAAAGGAGAGGGCGAAAGAGTCGCTGCTTGGCTTGGAGCCTTGAGTGGCGTCGAGGGTCTTCCTTTCCGCAGCCCCTCCCTCTGCAGCAATAGACAATGAGGTTTTAAATAAGAGTTTATAGTTCTCTGCAGTCTTTATAGTCCTCTGCAAGGGGGGAGGGGGTTTGTTGGCTCTGTGAACCACTCTTCTTCCTCTTTTGGACCATCAAGAGGTATGGGCAAACTTGGACCCTTTAAGAGTTTTGGACTTCAACTCCCACCATTCCTAACAGCCTCAGGCCCTTTCCTTTTCCCCCCTCATCCGCTTAAGCGGCTGAGGGGGAAAAGGAAGGGGCCTGAGGCTGTTAGGAATGGTGGGAGTTGAAGTCCAAAACGCCTGGAGGGGCCAATAGATGCAGTTGGAGGCCCATAGATGCAGTTGGAGGGCGCTTCTTCCTCTCCCTCTTGGGGCCTATAGCTTGTCGAGGCTCTTGGGGTTGGTGAGGATCTCCCTGGCCAGCCTCCAGGTCTGCTTGGCGGCGCTCTCGAGGGCGGAGTGGGGCTTCCCTTGGAAGAGGTCGAGGTTGGGGAGGAAGTAGTGCGGGCAGCGCCGGCACTGGAGGCAGGAGATGAGCTGGAGCAGGATGCCGTTGAGCCGGTCGCCCAGGCAGGCCTCGTCCCAGTCGGTCTCTCGGGGGTGCTTCTCGCACTCGTAGAGCAGCAGCGTCTTCATGTGGTAGTTGTGGAGCGGCTGTCCGGGCAGCTCGAGGTGCCGGTCGCGGAGGGTCTTGAGCACCGAGAGGCACTTGTTGCGGCAGCCCCCCAAGAGGAGCCTGTTCTCGGCTTCCCCGAACTGCAGCACCCAGGCGTCGCTCTCGGCCGAGCTCTGCTTCCCGGTGAGCGAGTAGCACTCCTTGGAGAGGAGGTTGAAGCCTTCGGCTTTGACTTCGGCCACGCGGTTGGGGCCCGGCCACGGGATGTGGGGCAGCGGCCACTGAGCCGCGCTGCGGGGCCAGATGCCCGTGCACTTGAAGGCCGGCGTGATCTGCACCACGAAGCGCTCCCGGATGCGCAGCCGCACCTCGCTGGTGTCCGCGATCATCTTGACCACGTCGCGGTAGCTGCACTTGTCCACCGCCTGCGCCACGAGCGTCTGGAAGCGCGAGCGGATCTTCCTGGCGGACAGGTAGCCCGAGGCCGTGATGAACTCCACCCAGAGCGACATGCTCCGCTTCCTCCCGTCGCTCAGCTTCAGCACCGCGCAGCCGGGCAGCGAGCCGTCGTCGACGAAGTTGAAGACGCCCATCTGGTTGAGGTAGAGCACCACCTCGAACTCGGTGGGCGAGACCACCTCGAGGCCCTCGTAGCGCGCGTCGATCTCGCTCAGGGAGCTGATGAAGCGCGGCTCCTGCACCTCCACCTCCTTGAGCACGTCGGAGACCACCTTGCAGACCTCGCGGATGGTCTTGGCGATGGCCGCCTTGCGCGCCTGGCACCGCTCCGTGTAGTACTTGTTCAGCTGGTAGACCAGCTTGGCCTGCGCCGCGATCATGTTGGGGCACACGTCCGGGCTGAAGGCCGCGCTCTCGCAGTAGGCCGACGGATCCAAGGCCGACGCCAAGGCCAAGGCCGACGCCAACGCCAAGGCCGAGCAGGTGGGGAGGCGCAGGACCCCCGGGACCCGCCCCCGGCAGCCCTAGACCCCGCCGCCGAGGGCAAGGCGCGAGGAGGCGAGCTCTTCTGCTCCCCTGGACGCTCACATGGGCTCACGGTCAGGCCCGCATGGGGAAGCCTCGCTCTCCTCCTTCGCCCTGGAAGAACTGCCTGTCCCGAGGCTAAAGAAAGACCTGCAGAGCCTTCGCCTCACTCGGGATAAGATGAGGAGACAAGCAGGCGATGCGGCTCTCCTTCTCGCTCTGATGAAGTCTTTCCTGTTTGGAGGCCAGGCTTGAAAGATCTTCAGATCCTTCTCCTCGCTCAGGACAAGCTGTGGAGACAAACAGGCGATGCTGCTCCTTCTCGCTTGGATTGGGCTCTCACATGGGTTCACCTTCAGTCCTGCATGAGGAAACCTCGCTCTCCTCCTGGAAGAACTTAGTGTCCCGCGGCAAAAGAAACCTGCGAGGAGGGAAGACCTTCAGAGCCTTCTCCTCGCTCAAGGATGAGATGTGGAGACAAATGGATGAAGTCTTTCTTGCCTTCCTTCTTGGAGGCCTGGCTTTGGACAACACCAACCCTTTGGGCTGTTACCTCCTTTCCTCCTTCCTCCTTCCTCAGTCGTTCAGTCCTGCGTGGGGAAACCTCGCTTCCCTTCTTCCCATTAGAAGAACTTTGTGTCCCGGGGCAAAAGAAGATCTTTAGAGCCTTCTCCTCGCTCAGAATAAGATGAGAAGACAAACAGGCGATGCGGCTCCCCTTCTCGCTCTGATGAAGCCTTTTCTTTTTGGACGCCTGGCTTGGAAGCTCTTCAGAGCCTTCTCCTCGCTCAGGACAAGCTGTGGAGACAAGCTGCGGCTCCCCTTCTCGTCTTTCTTGCTTTCCTTCCTGGCTTGGAAGCTCTTCAGAGCCTTCTCCTCGCTCAGGACAAGATGTGGAGACAAGCAGGCGATCCGGCTCGCCTTCTCACTTTTTTCTTAAAGGCCTGGCTTGGGCAACTCCAACCCTTGGCGTTGTGATCGCCTTCTCTCTCTCCTCTTCCTCATTGATCTCTCCTTCCCTTTGTTTCTAACTTAGGTAAACAAAACAGCATCTCTCCTCGTCCTGAAAGTGTGCTCGCTTCGGAGCGTTGCTGAGGGAGGAGTGCGCCTCCTTTCCTGCAGTTTTCCGCTTCCTAGGAGTCAGGCACTCACCCCCTCCCTCCTCCTCCTCTTAGGTCTCTTCCTGCCTTCCGCTTCCTTCTTTCCTTCCCCCTCCCGCTTGTCTCGCTGCTTCCCGGCCTCCTCGTCTGTCCGGAGGTCTCTCTCTCTCTCTCTCTCTCTCTCTCTTTGCGCCTGGTTTACTTTATGAATGGTCCCAGGGCCCCGGGGAAGCGGGGCGGAGCTCCGGCCTCCTACAATCGCGGGCCGAGCTGTCAGAGAGGCAGCCAATGAATGGCCGCGCTTCCCGGGCTGCCTCCACGTTTCCCTGGGCGCGGGAGCCCCCGTCGAGGGGGGGGGGGGAAGAGGGCGAAGGAGGGAGAGGAGAGGGATACTCAAGGAGGCACTCACTTGCAAGGCTTTTGCGCCCACATCTGCGGGAAGAAACGCGCGCATCGCACAAAAGAAAACCTCCCTCTCTTTCTCTCTCTCTCTCCCCACTCCCCAAGTTAATGGGAAAGAGACACTGTCCCTAACAGGAATTGGGCTGGATCTCGCTCTTTATACTCCCAGTCCCTCATCTTTGCAGGGAGGTTCAAGATCAAGGGCTGGGGACTAGGAAGGTCCTTTCTCTGCCACTCCAAGGACTAGGGGAGTAAACGATGAAGGAGCCTCTCCTCTATATGTGTATACAATTGTAAGAAGTGGGTTACTCTGAGTTTTCCGGGCTGTATGGCTATTGTTCCAGAAGCATTCTCTCCTGACGTTTCGCCTGCATCTATGGCAGGTGTCCTCAGAGGTTGGGAGGCCTAGGAAAGTGCGGTTTATATATCTGTGGAATGTACAGGGTGGGAGAAAGAATTCTTGTCTGTTGAAGGTAGGTGTGAATGTTTCAATTGGCTACCTTGATTAGCATTGGATGGCCTTGCAGCTTCAAAGCCTGGCTGTAATCACTGAATTGTGAGTTTTCCGGGATGCATGGCAATGTTCCAGAAGCATTCTGTCCTGACGTTTCGCCCACATCTATGGCCGGCATAGAGGTAGTAATGTCGAAGGCCGGAATCACTGGGTTGTTGTGAGTTTTCTGGGCTGTGCGACCATGCCTGAGGGGAATCCTTTGTTAGGAAACTAGGCAAGTGAGGTTTATATATCTGTGGAATGTGCAGGTTAGGAGAAAGAACTCTTGTCTGTTGAAGGTCGGTGTGACTGTTTCAACTGGCCACCTTGATTGTCATTTTAATCTCCTGCAGCTTCAGGGTGTGGCTTCTTACTGCCTGGGGGAATCCTTTGTTGGGAGGCGATTAGCTGGTTCTGATTGTTTCTTGTCTGGAATGCTTCTGGCACATGGCCATACAGCCTGAGGATACCGGCCATAGATGTGGGTGAAACATCAGGAGAGAATGGTTCTGGAACATGGTCATACAGCCCTGAAAACTCACAACAACTCAGTGATTCCGGGCATGAAAGCCTTCAACAATAAAATGTAAGAAGGCTTGGTAACTATATAAGCTGCGGATTGGATCTCACTATTTATAGGCTCCCAGTCCCTCATCTTTGCAGGAAGGCTCAATATCAAGGGCTGGGAGCTACGAAAGTCCTTTCTCTGCCACTGCAAGGACTAGAGAGTAATCATGAAGGAACTCTCCTACACATTTAAGGTTTGGTAACTAACTGTATATAAGCTGGGTTGCTGCGAGTTTTCCAAGCTGTATGGCCATCTTCCAGAAGCATTCTCTCCTGACGTTTCACCCACATTTATGGCAGGCATCCCCAGAAGTTGTGAGATCTATTGGAAAATAGCCAAGTAGAGTTTATATATCTGTGGAATGTCCAGGGCTGGAGAAAGAACTGAGGAAGGTGTGAATGCTCACTCATCCGTTCTTATAAGTAGCTGGCGTCTTGGGAGGGAAGGCAGAGCTTTCTTTTTACTACCTTACCTGAGCAGTATTGATACCAGATTGTGCATCCATCCATCCAGGCTCTTTATATATTTTAGGGGGAAAGAGGGGCTGGAACGACAGTTTTAAGTACATTATATGGTTCTACACCAGGCATGGGCCAACTTGGGAGCCTCCAGGTGTTTTGGACTTCAGCGGCTGAGGGGGGAAAGAAAGGGGCCTGAGGCTGTTAGGAATGGTGGGAGTTGAAGTCCAAAACACCTGGAGGCTCCCAAGTTGGCCCATACCTATATTTACACTGACCATGTAATGCAGTCTGTATCTGGCAATGTATATCCAGCCAGTATGGTGCGGTACATGACTTTGAATTAGAGATCGGACCTCTGTTTCTTTAGTGTATGTTGCTCTATCAGACTGAGAAAAGGTAGCTAATATTTCCTTCCCCTTGCAGGTCACACATCCCAGTATTTCTCGCCATTGTTTGTCTCTCCCTCCTCCAAAATTCCTCCAAAATCCGGGGATATTATTACCTCTAACCCCTTTCCGCGTTTGTATTTCTATTCTGTGAGTATAAATAAATTATACACTCCTCTCTCTGGGGAAAATAGATTATCTTTTAATTGGTAAATAGGCACCTAGGCGCATTTTTCCCCTTTGGCGGTTTTTTTTTATAGGGGAAAATAAGAAACGATAAGGGTCCTTCTTTAAAACCGGCCACAAAAAATATTCCTGAGGATGTCAGGAGAGAATGCTTCTGGAACATGGTCATACAGCCCGGAAAACTCACAGCAACCCAGTGATTCCGGGCATGAACGCCTTCGGCAACACAAAAAATACAAGTCCTGGTAACAGTGTGTGTGTGTGTGTCTGGGTTCCTGAGGATGCCGGTCTTAGATGTGGGCGAAACGTCAGGAGAGAATGCTTCCGGAACATGGTCGTACAGCCCGGAAAACTCACAGGAACCCAGTGATTCCGGCCATGAAAGCCTTCCACAGCATGCACAAAATATGACCTTTCTGGGATATTCTTTCCAAACGCCTCGGATAAATAAATTCGAGGTGTTATTTGCAGTGAATTTGTGGGTTTTTCCCCCTCCTCATTTCTTAGACAGACGGCAGTGTCTCACTGTTTTGAAGAGAAAAGAAAGAATTTAATAATCATCAGAATGTGTTCACATTTTTTAAAGGTTTTAGGTTTTTTGGGGTCCCTTCCACACAGCTGAATAAAATCCCACATTATTTGCTTTGAACTGGAATATATGGAAGTGTGGACTCAGATACTCAAAGACGATATTGTGGGATTTTCTGCCTTGATATTCTGGGTTATATGGCTGTGTGGAAGGTCCCCCTGCCTCAAGGAAAAACGGCGGGATTGTCCCGAAGCGGGAGACCGAGACCCACGCGGGTTTGATGGCATCCCACGAGAGCATTTCCTTTCGCCCTGAGGGTGGGGAAGCGTTTTCAAACCATAGGGAAACAAATACACCAGTTGCTTCGAACAGGTGTCACCACCACCACCTCCTCCTCCGTCCCGATTTTTCTCCTCAGCAAAAAAATCTTGAGTTGTGAGCCTGTGGAGAAATAATGTGGAGGCGTCATATTTGCCTCCTCCGAAAGAAAAAGTAAAAAAAGGGGAGGAGGTGTGTGTGTTTGTGTCTTTGTATACACACACACAAACTCAGAGAGAGATATGATTTGTAAAAGAAGCCCACGGCATGATTTCCTTCGATGTATATTGGGCGTAATTCGACAGAATGTGTAAGGACTGCAGTCCTGTTAGTTGGCTGCAACGGCTACCAGCAAGCACAAGGAAATGCCCCATTGGACTGTGTCCTAATACAAGGAAAGCTAAAACTTTGTGTGTGTGTGTAGATAATAAGATTCAAGATCTAGACCAGCGCTTCTCAACCTAGGGGTCGGGACCCTTGAGAGGGTCACGAGGGGGTGTCAGAGCAGTTGTCAAAGACCTTCAGAAAAGACAGTATTTTCTGTTAGTCATGGAGGTTTTGTGTGGGAAGATTGGCTCAATTCTACTGTTGGTGGGGTTCAGAATCTTTGATTGTAGGTGAACTATAAATCCCAGCAAGTACTACTCTTAAATGTCAAGTCTATTTCCCCCCAAATCCACCAGTTTTCAAATTTGGTCATTCGTGCCATTGAGTATTCGTGCCAAGTCTGGTCCAGAACCATCATTGTTTGAGTCCACAGTGTTCTCTGGATGTAGGTAAACTACAACTCCAAAACTCAAGGTCAATGCCCACCAAACCCAATATTTTCTGTTGCTCATGAGAGTTCTATGTGCGAAGTTTGGTTACATTCTATCATTGGTGGAGTTCCACTATGCTCTTTGATTGTAGGTTAACTCTAAATCTCAGCAACTACAACTCCCAAAGGACAAAATCACCCCCACCCCCCACCCCAACCCCAACAGTATTCAGATTTGGTCATGTTGGGTATTTGTACCAAATTTGGTCCAGTGAATGAAAATACATCGGGCACATCAGATATTTACATTAGGATTCATAACAATAGCAAAATTACAGTTATGAAGTAGCAACGTGAAAAATTTTATGGTTGGGAGCCATAACAACATGAGAAACTGGATTAAGGGGTCATGGCATTAGGAAGGTTGAGAACCACTGGTATAGACTCTACCGACGTGAAAGTGCGCCAGTTTGCAAGTCTAGGCATTTAGGACCCCAGATTGTGGAGAGGAAAGGAAAAGTGTGGGAAACACCCAATCCATCCTGTCAATCTCCATGGATGTGGCCACGCTGAGAAATACGTGTGTGTGTGTATATATATTTGTGTGTGGATCTATCTCCAGAAAAGAGCTGGAAAGCGGGTGCGGGGTAGACAAAAGATCTATTTACACTATAAACATAGTGCAGTTCGGGTTGTTGTGAGTTTTCCGGGTTATATGGCTATGTTCCAGAAGCATTCTCTCCTGACGTTTCACCTGCCTCTATGTCAGGCATCCTCAGAGGTTGTGAGGTCTGTTGAAAACTAGGAAAATGAGGTTTGTGTAGTTCAGTTTGACGCCACTTGAACTGGCTCAATACGATGGAATTGTGGAATGTGTAGTTTGGTAAAGAACCAGTAGTCTTTGACAGGGAAGTCATAGAATCATAGAGTTGGAAGAGACCTCGTGGACCATCCAGTCCAATTTTCCAAGAAGCAGGAAAATTGCATTCAAAGCACTATCCAGCCTCTGTTTAAAAGCTTCCAAAGAAGGAGCCTCTACCACCCTCCGGGGCAGAGAGTTCTACTGCTGAACAGCTCTCACAGTCAGGAAGTTCTTCCTCATGTTCAGGTGGAATCTGCTTTCTT